TTGGGTGTAAGTACAACCAACCACCAACCAAAACTAGAGTTGGGTGTAAGTACAACCAACCAACCAACCAAAACTAGAGTTGGGTGTAAGTACAACCAACCAACAACCAAAACTAGAGATGGGTGTAAGTACAACCAACCAACCAAAACTAGAGATGGGTGTAAGTACATCCAAACAACCAAAACTAGAGATGGGTGTAATTACAAACAACCAAAACTGGATATAGAACATTTTTCTATAAAATAATCATCGTAGGCTGAACTCCAAGTAAAAACTGTACACCAAAGTAAAACAGACCTAGAATTAGAGGTTAAAGATATAATATCTAGGAAACGATATCTCGTAGTCCCATGTCACATTACCCATATCACCGCCTTTATACTTATTTTATTTGTATTCCAAAGCAGTTGAAAATAAGAAACTTATTGTCAGCGTTTATTTCAAAGATCAAAAACATTTTCATCATCATAATTGTAAAAAATGTTTGGATCGAAGATCTAATAAACTTTACGTTAATGCGCACTCCTGTGGCAGACTTAAGAACCTTGTTCTCTCTTCAATGATTTCTGGGCTTATATGGACAGGAAAGCCATGTAATGTGACCGTTTTGGTAACTCAATTGTTTAATAACTTCGTGAATGTTGAACCTATAACCACACTGAACAAGAAAGGCTTATCAGTTCTGGTGTTGAAAAACAATTTAATAGTAAATAAATTAATTATCTGAAAGTATTTGTAATATGCAAGCAATTAATTAGCTCCATGCATAACCTTGTTAATGGTCTTTAAATAAATACATATATACATGTATTCTAGATAATGTGTGCAGATGTTTCAATTTCTAGTTTGTTTTTGAAAGTTAACAGCATCAAAACTTAATGATCCGACTGGAATAAAATAAGTTAAGCTCCGTAAAAGTCAGGGTGTTAGTCTATGAAGCAAAAAACACACACACTTACAGACAACTACAGTCGCAAGCTTTACTCTAAAGTTTTGATCTGTAACATATACATAATCTTCCCGTGCCTATTGCGGACTTAAGGGTCCATGGTTCGAGTCTTGTTACCGCAGGAAACAAAGTGCGCTCCGCACTTTCAAGCCGTGGGTGCGTTATGAGGGCGGTGGTCAAATCCCACTATTCGGTCAGACAATAGTAGCCCAAAATTAGGGACGGGTTGTGCAAATAGCACTCGTGTAGCTTTGCGAGAAATCCAACAATCAAACAGTTCAAAATTAAAGACGGATACGCGCGAATACATGAAAACAAATAACCAAAGAACAAGGAACACATAGAGCTATATAGAAAAAGAGGTATGTGTGCGTGTAGTAATCCCCGTTATTAAATTTGTATTTCATACAGTAAAAAATTATATTGTACTGAAAGTAGTGTACAATGAAAACATTATTGGACTTTATTATGCAACCATGGAAACTGTTCTCTTGACTACAGAGGTGCAGGGAGTTTTCCAGGGATGCTTCCATCACAATATGAACTACGATCTGGGGCAGGTGTTTTACGACGGTTGTGAGTTGAAGTGTGTGTGCAGAGAAGAGGGTCGTATTTACTGTCAAGACAGATGTGAAATCTACGTAGACACCGTAGGATTTGAAGAATGCAAGTGGGGGCCGGCACCAGATGATCCATGTTGTACTATTCCCTATTGTAGAGACCAGATTGATGAATTGAAAAAAATGACTGGTAAGGAAAAAAAAAAAACTTATTGGCTGAAATGCATATAAAGATTTATTATAGTTCATAAACCTGGCTTGTTGGCTTGGACTTTATATTGACCAAAACATTTGTCTTCAGCTAAGTATGAATCTCAAAAATATCCCTAAAACAGAACACAGTGAAAATATTTTTATTTGTGTAGATAAAAGAATCATTAGAGAAGGAGAGGATAAAAACCCTTAAACATATATTGGAATACTTTGAAGAACAAATTTTATCTATAGGTCACAAAATAACATGAATTATGTATAGTTATGTAAGGGGAAGTATTAATAATGTATTTCTTAGCTATACATTAACTATAACTGGTTTGTTAGGCGTTTCTTAATTACCAGGCAGGCAGTATCACTGCCTGTGTAAGGATGGCTCGGATTTTTCGTTGAAATGGTATTTAAAAAATATCCTCAATAGGTTATCAGAACTTTACAATACTGTACAGTGTTTCCTTTTATAACAATATCTGTGTAATGACTGAGTCACAAGTTCTGGGAATATCTGTAAATATCATAGCAAAAAGTTTGAATTTCTTGTTCTTTCTTCTGCTTCTTTTTTATTATATGATATCTGGTTTATTAGCCACTTCTTAGTTATACACTATTAATTATAACTGGTTTATTAGCCACTTCTTAGTTATACACTATTAATTATAACAGGTTTATTAGCCACTTCTTAGTTATACACTATTAATTATAACTGGTTTATTAGCCACTTCTTAGTTATACACTATTAATTATAACTGGTTTATTAGCCACTTCTTAGTTATACACTATTAATTATAACTGGTTTATTAGCCACTTCTTAGTTATACACTATTAATTATAACTGGTTTATTAGCCACTTTTTAGTTATACACTATTAATTATATCTGGTTTATTAGCCACTTCTTAGTTATACACTATTAATTATAACTGGTTTATTAGCCGCATCTTAGACATAGATTATTGATTACACGGGTCCAGGGGGGTTTCTAGGGACATTCCCACACATTGGGTTAAATTAACATCGATCTTAATATGAGGTAATGTATTTTGTATTTCACTGGTTTAATGACAATCGATTACAATATTCCTGATAAACCGTCTGTGCACACCTTTCTCAGACACGAAAACGACGACTTCTCAGCAGCTGAAAAATCGAACATAAGTGTTCTCATAATAATGTTCTCTTAATTTTTAGGGTGAGGATAATTTTTGTCAAATTAGATCCACGTAGTTTGAGAGAAAAAAAAACTATTTTTGTTGGCTTGCTTTTAAATAAGATTACAAACTTTAGCATGTGTTTTTGTGCAATATTTAAAGTTTTTACTGGTGTAGAAGATAGTAACAATTCCTGTAACAACTTCTTGTTTAATGCTGGTTTGCATTTTATAAAGTTCACCGTTTTTCACTCTCGAGGTTTTGATCACATTAATTAAGAGAAAAAGTGGTAGGTATGATTAAAACCATTATATTATTATTCCATTAAAAAGTGTATTCGTCAGTCAGCTTTGTTTTGTGTTTTTAGATAACGCTGGTTTCTGTTTCAGAACCCCCTGCTTTACCAACTCCGCCATCACATGCTATGTGTACATCAGAAGATGGAGTACACCACCAGCTGGGTGACACATGGGAACTAGAATCAGGCTGTAAACGAAGAGTGTGCACTTGCGTTTTGAATTCCAAAGGTTCAACAATGGTCAAATGTGAAGGAGGGTGTCCACCAATCCCAGCCGATGCCCTTCAGCCTAGTCCAGACTGCCCACAGCCCGTTATGATCAATCCAGATGATCCTTGCCTGTGTCCCTACATTGTCTGTAATAATGCTGTGAATAGTAAGTGAATAAATTACAGAACAATATTACAGACATAACAGAAGGACCACTTTCACGTACACGTTAATCCCCCAGATTTGTAATGTAACAATTTATTGTAATAATCCGATTTACTAACTGTATCTGTCTAACCGAGGATTGTATCTCTGTACCACTATGCCAAACTACATACAAAACTCAAATTTATTTTCCCCTTTTCGGTAGCCATTTACTTTTACGACAGTGCTGCCACCTGATGGGTGTTATGTTCTAATCTCCTTTCTGAGTCATAAGTTTATCTGTATATCAGACTCGTTGTCTAATATTCGAAACCTTCAGGCTTTAAGCCGATAAAACCTTTAAGCTACTGTAAAAAATATACTTTTCTACCCCTTTTAGCTACAGACGAACAACAACATTGTTTTCTACCTATTCAACTACAGGTGATCGACAGCATAGTTTATTACCTATTTAACTACAGGTGATCAATAGCATAGTTTATTACCTATTTAACTACAAGTGATCGACAGCATAGTTTACTACCTATTTAACTACAGACGAACAACAACATAGTTTATTACCTATTTAACTACAGGTGATTGACAGCATAGTTTACTACCTATTTAACTACAGGTGATCAATAGCATAGTTTATTACCTATTCAACTACAGGTGATCGACAGCATAGTTTATTACCTATTTAAGTACAGATGATCAATAGCATAGTTTACTACCTATTCAACTACAGGTGATCGACAGCATAGTTTACTACCTATTTAACTACAGGTGATCGACAGCATAGTTTATTACCTATTTAACTACAGGTGATCAATAGCATAGTTTATTACCTATTTAACTACAAGTGATCGACAGCATAGTTTATTACCTATTTAACTACAGACGAACAACAACATAGTTTATTACCTA